GGGGGGGCGTCCTGAAGCCCTTGGTCCTCCGTGGGTGTTGACTGTTGGGCACCAGGTGTCATTTTCGCGAATTACAGGTGCTCTGCTTTTTGGGTGATGCAAAGCCCTGTCTCTCTGGCTGGTAGGTTCTTCCCTTGTAACGTCTGGAGAAGTTTGCAGTCGCCCCACGCGGTCCCTTTCTGTGCTCTAGAGCAAAAGCAGATGCCACAACGTGCATGCCGATCGCTCTGACTTTCCTTCCTCCGGAAGGGTCTGTCACCTGTTCTAAACCCGTTAGCTCTATGGGGGTGCACGTTAGGGAAAAGCCACGTCTGCCGCTCTGCATCTGGCTCCCTGCGCTCACGGCCCTCACTCACTCATTCACTAAGGGCTGGGGTTCCACAGGCCAGAGACGTAGTCCACTCCAGCGCCGCTCCGTCTCCAGCCCCCGGCACTAGGCCTAGTATACAGTAGGTGCTCAGTGAGTACCTCTGCAACCAAGGGACAAACGTGCCCGGTCAGGAAAAGCACAGCTCTGACCAGGCTTGCCTCTGCAAAACGAAACCTCCTGTCTGTGGAGGTGAGAACGGAGTCTCCGGTGGGATTCCCGGGCCGAAACCGTGAGCCGTCTTGAGCACGTCGCTGTGGAGACCGCCGGGCAGGGGGCAGCAGAGGGCAGGGTGCTGGCCGCCCTGATGCTAGGTATCTGGCACACTAGGTGCTCCCCGGGAGGTGGGAGGGGGCAGTGCGTGGCTTCTGTGGCAGAGAACGAGCAGAGCGCTTCTGCTCCCCAGGTTTGCTCGAGGAGGCTGCACGTTTGGCTGGCTCTCAGGTGTGGAGGGTGCCTGACGTTTGTGTCTCTCGGGCCCTCTCCCATCCCTGGTCCGGCCCCAGCTCCGAGCGGGTCTGGGATGCCGCTGGTTTCTTCCCTGGCCCCCAGCCCCTCCTCCTGCCCCTCAGGTGGGGTAAACTGGGGAGTTATGCGCCCTTCCCACATCGTACCCCCTTCCCCGTAAAGCGAAGTGTGCTTCTGTGTGTCACGGGTGTGCCTGTGCGAGGCCCGCCTGGTGCACGGCCTCCATCTCTGCCGGATCAGGGCAGGGGTCCGTCTGCTGCTGGTGCGAGGCCGAGGGGCCCTCTTTCCCTGCGGTCGGCACCGAGGACCCTCCGGAGAGCACGTTCTTCCGTGGTTTCTGCCCATGTCAGCTCAGGACACACAGCGGCCGTGGTCCAGGACGGGGGTGCGGCCTCGCGTGGGGTTGGGGCTCAGTTTGGCTTCTCACGCTTTTTACTCTCGTCTTTGTTTTCTTTCCAGGGAAGGTCTGTGTCTTTAACAACTTTTTATCGAACAGCAAGAAATATCATGAACATGTGTTTCAGCAAGGAGCCCGCCCCGGCTGAAATCGAGGTGAGCGCGCCTCCCGGGGCCCCGGGCCCCCTGGCGCCCGATGGTGCTGAGGGGACCCCCGGGGCCATCGTGGGTGTCTGTGTGCCGGGGGCTGGCAAGTCGTCACCGAATCTAGACTCACTCAAGGGCACAAGAGGTGCAGCGAAGAGTGTGTGCCTCCCCCCGGCCGGGGGTGGGGAGACGCCAAGTCGGGGTTGAGCTCCGGGCGCGTCCCCGGCCTGGGGGCCACTCCTCACTCCGTCGTCTCTTATGTAAGAGAATGTTCGGAATCCCTTGAAACCATGGTTGCACTTTTTCTCTTCTCCCCTGTTTTCTCTTTAATGGGATTGGCAGATTGCCATCTTTGTGCTTCTCCCAACTCTGTTCTTGGAGTTAGCGTGAGGCTGGGAAGCCCGGAGCCCTCCTGTGCCCGGCTGATTAGGGGGCTTTCTGGGTGAGCCGCTGCAGGACAGGGACCGGATCTGTTTACCTCCCCCACCCGGTGCCCCGCGCCTGGTCCTGTCAAGGGAAGGAAGCCGAGCTCCTGTGGCTGGTCGAGGGCAGCGGCTGGTGGGCGGGTCTCAGACTCCGTCTTCCTGTCAAGCATGTCTGCCCCTCTGCACACACCCGTGCTGACTGCTAGGGGCCCGGCTTCTCCGGGGTGGGACCTCAGGACAAGTCCCAGGACGGGCCAGGTCAAACCAGGCCGCACGGGCCACACACGGCAGCCATCAGAAGCCCAGGACCGGAGCCCCGGCCCCGCAGATCAGGCTTCCCCATTGGGGGAACCTCCCCGTGTCTGGTTTTAGCCCTGAGTGTCGTCCTTCCCTTGGGCCGCATGTCTCTGCTGATCTGCACAGGGCCGCCCCAGCTCTGTTCCCGGGGTGGCGCCTCCAAATACCACACCACGGCTTGACCCCCCTGCTTTGGACCCGCGGAAGCCACATCCCTTCAGCCACGACTCTGGGTCACACTTGCTTCCCAAGTGCTCATGGCATTTGTGGGATGTGGTGGCAGGAGAAAGCGATGGGACCTTTTGGGGTGAACAGTTGGGCTGGGAAGAGAGGCCTTGGCTGCTCAGCGCAGGTCCCCGTGGGGGCCTCAGAGGCCGCAGGGTTTGATCCTGTGTGGGGCACGAAGGACACACAGCTTGTTTTAGTTTCCTGCTCAGGAATTCGTTCTGAGAGTCTTGGTTTCTCCTAAGCACTTGCCTAATATTTGAACACCAGGGGAAGGTCTGCTAAAATCCAGACTTGGATGAGTCGGAGTCTGTCTAGCTTCTAGATCCGCCAAAGAGGTCTGGGCCTTCCTCTTGGCTGGTGGCCGTCCCCTTCTTCCCCAGGTGGCCGTTGGTCGGTCTCTACACCCGGTGGCAGGGCTGGGCCTCGAGCTATCCCCTCACACAGACTCTGTTCCTCCCCTTCCAGGAGACACGCTTAAGGAACCCAGACACATAATGTTGTGGGATTTTTTCTTGGGGCTTTCGACCCCTCCAGGCTGGTCCCCCTTTGGAGAAGTTGTTGTGGAGCCTGTATGGTTCGTGGTAGCACTTCTCTGAGCCAAACTGCACGTCGTGACACCCGTTGCTTGTTCGCTAGGCTTCCTCCTTTCCGTGTGGTTCCAGCTAAATGGGGTCTGCCAAGGTATTAGGGAAGATGATGCTGTGCTTCTGGAATGAAAATTGAAAACAAAAAAGGCCTCTGAGTTGGGGGAACTGCCTGTGGGAAACTTGAGCACATCTTAGCTGTTGGCAAAACACGTTCCTGACCCCCCTCCGCCCCTGGCTGTTTGGGTAGGACTCCTTACAGTCACCTGGTAGGCTTTTAAAACTGGTCATGTGACATCCCCCTGGCACCCTGTCCGATTTAGTTGGCTGGATCACAGTCCGGGTGGAAGTAGGCTTCACTCCTGGTGATTCTGATGCACAGACGGGGCTGAGAAGTCAGGATCACCCGTGACTGGAAGGGAGGAAGGTGTGTGTTTGTCAAGATGGCCGACCTGGAGGATCTTTATAGGATGATGGGGGGACGGCTTCCCCCTCCTTCCTCTCGTTGCTTTCCCCCTGCTTTTTGTATAAATAACTTAAAAAAGTTTTAAGTTTATTTATTTTGAGAGAGAGAACATAAGCTGGGGTAGGGCAGAGAGAGGGGGAGAGGGAGAATCCCGAGCCGGCTCCGTGCTGTCAGCGCAGAGCCCGATGTGGGGCTTGAACTCAACAAACCGCGAGATCGTGACCTGGGCAGAAATCAAGGGTCGGACGCTGAACCCACTGAGCCACCCAGGTGCCCCATATGAGTGACTTCTAAAACTTTGTAAAAATACACATAACATAACATAA